CTTCCATTAGCTCCTAGGCAGCTTCTACAAGGCTAATGATAACCTACTTAACTTCCATTGGCTCCAAAGTTCAATGTCCAATGTACCTATGAAGTTCAAGACACAATATTAAGAGTGAAAAAAAAATGACATCTTTTGACTCAATGAAAGATAAAATCTTTTCTTAAAAACTTCAGCTGACTATTTTTGGCAATACGGTTAACTGAAACTAGTCTGTTAAAATGATTTTATCTTTCAAGTCATGTTTGTTTTTTCCTCTTAATATAGTAATTTCATTTCAGGCACATTGTGTTAACAGGATACAATATTTACTATCTGCCTTTTATTTCTAGTCAAACTTGATCACTTAAACCTACCAGCATCATCAGAAGCATTAAGGTCTGCTTCAGCATTTATCAGGTCTTCCACCATTCCTTCTATTGCTAGTCTCGAAGCTAGAATCAGTGGTGTTGTTCCATCATGCATTCTAGCATTCAGATTAGTTGCTCTGTTTCTTAACAGAATCTGAAAATTAAGTAGGTTATCATTAGCCTTGTAGAAGCTGCCTTTGTAGGTACATTGGACATTGAACTTCGTAGGTACATTGGACATTGAACTTTGTAGGTACATTGGACATTGAACTTCGTAGATACATTGGACATTGAACTTTGTAGGTACATTGGACATTGAACTTCGTAGATACATTGGACATTGAACTTCGTAGATACATTGGACATTGAACTTTGTAGGTACATTGGACATTGAACTTCGTAGATACATTGGACATTGAACTTTGTAGGTACATTGGACATTGAACTTTGTAGGTACATTGGACATTGAACTTCGTAGATACATTAGACACTGAACTTTGTAGGTACATTGGACATTGAACTTCGTAGATATATTGGACACTGATCTTCGTAGGTACATTGAACTTCGTAGGTACATTGAACTTCATAGGTACATTGGACATTGAACCTCGTAGATACATTGGACACTGAACTTTGTAGATACATTGGACATTGAACTTTGTAGGTACATTGGACATTGAACTTCATAGGTACATTGGACATTGAACTTCGTAGATACATTGGACACTGAACTTCATAGATACATTGGACACTGAACTTTGTAGGCACATTGGACATTGAACTTTATAGGTACATTGGACATTGAACTTCGTAGGTACATTGGACATTGAACTATTTAGGTACATTGGACCCTGAACTTCGTAGATACATTGGACATTGAACTTTGTAGGTACATTGGACATTGAACTTCGTAGATACATTGGACACTGAACTTCGTAGGTACATTGACACTGAACTTCGTAGGTACATTGAACATTGAACTTCGTAGATACATTAGACATTGAACTTCGTAGGTACATTGGACGCTGCACTTTGTAGGTACATTGGACATTGAACTTCGTAGGTACATTGGACACTGAACTTCGTAGGTACATTGGACATTGAACTTTGTAGGTACATTGAACATTAAACACAGCTTCTAGAGGTGGTAGTGAACTTTTCTGGTGTGGTTGTTAATGCTCCATGGATGACACTGGTTGCAGGGTGTTTGTATTTATATGGCTAGAGAAACACAGCTTCTAGAGGTGGTAGTGAATTTTTCTGGTGTGGTTGTTGATGCTCCATGGATGACACTGGTTGTAGGGTGTTTGTATTTATAGGGCTAGAAATGCCTTCAGACCAGTCACTTTGAGCTGAATGGGGAGAAGAACTTGACCATTGGCCAGGGGATTCAGGAGAGGGGGTTAAATAAGTCTCTGGGTGATGTAGTTGGTGCTGAGGGGTAACCTCTGGCCCACCATAACTATGTTGGGAAGGAGGGGTTGGGAACTGAAATGAATGGCTATAAGGCACTTGTTGCAGATCCGTTATTGACCCCTGAACATCAGTCATAATGGGGTAGTCATAGACGTGGTTGGTACTCTGCAGAGGTTGAATGTGTGCATTTTTCTGCAGGTGGGCAGCTCTCATGGCAGCCAAGTGGGTCGGGGAGGTCGGAAGTGACGGTCGTTGCTTGACTGGAGGAGAAGCAGTGTATTGGTGAGAGGTTGGTACTTGGGGTGGCGTTAGGTTACTGGGTACGGGACTTTGCTGTGGACGATGGGGTGCAACACCCCATGTTGTCTGCATGGGAGGCACCATCCCTCCATTTACATACGTCAACTGTCCAGCTATTCCACCCACAGTTCCATATATCTGTGGATTTATACATTCCTCATAGGAAGGTGGCTGCTTCATGGGCACTGTGTTGTCCACTGTTGTAAGGGCTAAGCTATGCCCACTAAAGATTATTATCAAATGCAAGAAGCATATTGTTGAAGTGGTGAGAATCCAAGTTAGGCTGTCCTTCCACAGGAAAAGAACCTTGTTCCTTTTGTTTCTTCACACAAGCTTTTCTTCTTATTCCTCCCTCATTTACGTAACAAGAGTTGTCTCCTCCGGACATTCCCACTGTACTACTGACTTTTGATCTCTTCTTTGATTTGGTAGATCTTGGGGAGCCAATGACTATGGGTGGAGAATTGTCATTCATTCTAGTAGATAAGTGAGATATCTGGGGATTCTGAGGCACATATTCATCTAACAGTTGCACAATGTCATGGTGCATTCGCTCCAAAGCCACGTCTCTTGGTAGACGATCCATGTGGTCGGTGATGTCTCGATTAGCAAAGTGTTCCAGTAACACTCTGGCAGCCTGGTAACTTCCTTCTCTAGCTGCCAAGAGAAGAGGTGTCTCTTCCTTGTTGTCCTGGACATCTCTATTTGCTCCATGGGCCAGAAGCACTTGGACAGCATCCACATTATTCACTGCTGCTGACCAATGCAGGGCCGTTTTCCCTACAAGAAAACATATCAAACTGAAGTACAGAAACAAGAATACAATAAGGTGGGAGACTGTAGTAACTTAAATGTTTTAGCTTGTTCAAACAAGAACAAGATAAGTGACGAATTGGAGTTGCAACACTTAAAGAACACACAACCTTCAATGCTTGCTGTTAGGAGAAAGCTAATCATCTGGGTTTATTTGTGTTCTGTTAAAAGACTCAAGTAATTTTAGTAAAAAGAAATTAAGTTTACAAAATCTTCATTCCCTTTGGGGGGATTTCCTGTTACAGATCCATTTACAGGTTGGTTAACAGTGTTCTCTATGACTAAACTGTGCTGTAGCTTAGATGGAAACCAACTAACACATAATATGATCTTCTAGTTTTGAAATGAAACATAAATCTTCAACCAACCTCGGGCGGAGCATCAATCCAATGTACACTGTCCAATGTACCTACGAAGTTCAATGTATCTACGAAGTTCAATGTTCAATGTACCTACGAAGTTCCTCTAGCCCTATAAATAAAAACACCCTGCAA